GAGTATAATAGGAATTATAAGTTTAAGTAGGTGACCCCAAATCTTCACATAAGCCGCCACGATAATTTAAGTCTGGGTATTAAACCCGGATATTGTCTTAAAACTGAATTTAATTATTAAAATTCGGATATAACACTTAAATCCGGATTCAAGCATTAATTCTATATGAAGTGTTACATTTTTACGAAATACTTTCTTAAAACGAGCAATTTGATCATTTTTATATATAGATCGAACCACTCAAATAGGTGTGATGATCAATGATTATTTAACAAAGGCTAAAGATATTGATGATAGAGTTATTCATTTACTATTTTCCGCAAATAGATGGGAATGCAAGTAAGAATGAACATTTTATTTAATTCAATTCGCTAAGAAAGGATATTGAATTTTTGTCACGTTGATAGTTTAGAAATAAAAAAAAAGATCCTTGAGGGCACCACTTTGGTTGTAGATCGGTATGCTTATTCTGGTGCCGCATATTCTGCTGCTAAAGTATATATATCTATATTTTTTTTTATTAATCAAGTTTAAATAATATATTTTAATCTTATCGTTAAACTGAATAATCATTATTTTCTCTTCTAAAGGGTCTTGATTTAGAGTGGTGTAAATCACCAGATATTGGTTTACTAACACCCGACATTGTCTTCTTTATGAACTTGACATCAGAAGAATCAGAAAAAAGAGTTGGATTTGGTAAAGAACGTTATGAAGAAAAGACATTTCAAGAAAAAGTTAAAGAAACTTTTGATTTATTGAAAGATCCAACGTGGAAGGTAAATTTTATGGAATAAATAACAACGTAACGTTAAGGAAGCTGTTAATATCAGTCGTTCTTTGAATAATGATTAGGTATTGGATGCATCCAAGGCAGTTTATGATCTTCATCATGAAATTAAAGACTTATCCTTGGAAACGATTCAGAAATGTGATAACTTAAAAGAAGATTTGTGGAAAAAGTGTTCTTAATGCAGTCTGACGATTTACTAGACCTTTTATGATAAAATGTCGATCAGAAATTTCTAGACGTTTCGGTTGCACAATATCACATGCTAATTGGCCAATCTGATAAATAAAAATATTGATTATTTCGTAGTATATAACCCAAATTTTAAAATTATACAGTCGATACTGTCTAATTGCATGCCATCCGTCAGAGACTTTTTCATGCATATAGACAGTATATGCATTTA